TCCATTTCAACTTTTTGCGAATTTTGCTATAAAAGCCAGAAGAAGGGAGGGATAGGTGAGCACGCGATAATCGCTTTCCAATCTTACTTAGATCGGCAATATAAAAGATTATTAGGCTTCTGATGCGGTTTAATGCTTATTACAAACGCAATAATAAATTCATTATGCATCCATTTTTGCCTCGTCTGAAATTTGTTTTGTGAACTATTGCCATTGGTGTGACATAATCATTACAAATTGTTATAAACTTTTCAAAACTTTATGCAATTCGATTTAAATTGGTTAAGTTTAAGTGTAAATAATTGTCGAATATTATTTTGATATTATTTATTATTATTTATTTTATATATATATATATATAAGTGTCGCTCAACTTTAGAACCACTGATGTCTTGCATCTGACCAATTCTACTAAAAAAGACCTTTTTGATCCTTTTTTTTTGCGAAATTAAAACAGTCGTAAAAAGGAAGACAAGGTTCAGCGTGAACATTTCTGAATCGATTAGGAACCTAAGGCTTAAAAATGGATATGATCTCTTCAAATGCACGCCCGGCAACACGGAAAAACTGAAACGATCTTGAAAGAATACCAGCATATCTTTTTTTCTAAATATGCATAATTTTCGATCCCGCATCGAGTATATGGGAGTGAGATGGTTATTGAAAAACTGCTGAAATTGTTCTATATCTGCCGAGGCAGAGGAATTTTTCCAAAACCTTTCTCTAATCATTTTTAAATAGAAAATACGAAATTGATTTTTTTTTCTTTTTCTTTATTTTGAAAACTTTAAGTTTTTATTGTAGATCAATTATTTAATTTCTACAAAGCCATTCCAAGTGTTGGACGTATGGGATAAGGCGAATAGTTGAGCATTTACTTGCCGCCGCCACCGCCACCACCGCCTCCTTGAGGTTCAGGCACAGGATTAGGTGCACCTGTAATTAAATCAAAGGATTTTCAAATAAAACAATACCTCCTGCTAAAATTGTATTTATCGGGGATAAGAATGTAATCGTTTACTTACCCATAGCTACAGCTATTAAAGCCAAGACCGAAACTAATATCGTAAACAATTTCATGTTGAAGTGACAATGCGATGCTCTGGAAATCTGACCCTTTTATTTATACTAAAATTGCTGTAGATATATATAGAAATATGTAGAAAGTTTGGGAAAAAAATTCATAGACAATTGTGTACGGATTTTGTTAAACAAAACTTCACGACAAGCTTCTACGAATATGTAAATACAGATTCTAAGAAATGTATTATAATTAACTGCAAAGTACATTGCGCGTGATGTTCACGTGCTTTCTTTAAACCAAGTCCCCTTGTTTATTTGAAAATTAAATTGAACTGCCTAAGGTCGGAAAGATATTTGAGAGCTTCACAGATATTGGCAGCATGTCATAGATAAATGGCAGTTAGCAACAATATTTGTAAATGCCCGGTCGTATCATCAAGGCGTACTAGTGAGACGTGGCTGCAGACTATGCCAAGCATTAAGAATTAGGAAAATTCGCAGCGAATCATATGTGCCTTTGTCAATGTAAGGGTTTAGATGCAAAGTTTTAGCTAGTTTGTGCCGTCGTTAAAATGCCGCCCGATATAGTCACGCTCGGGTGGGCAAAATTTACATAAGAATCTGAAAGGAATTTAAAACGATAAATGTGTTTATATATAGGGTAATACGCGCCCATCTTAACGATAGCATGATGAGATGATAAACCTCGAAATCGGCAACCAAAGCATTCGTGCCACAAACTATGCCGCATAACTCTTAGTAAATTGATCGGTGACGGCATTACGTCCCAAAATATGATGCATCGGGTACGAAGGGTGGGTGCAAAAAAGCACCGTTATATTATCAAGAAAAGATTAATCATAGACATTCATAGCTTTGCTTTGCAATTCGCTTTGCTAGTCCCTAACCATGTTTTTAACTAGGCGGAGTGAACCAATTTCACCTCTTGCCTATGGTACACTTAACGATATTTGCATATAGGTTTCATTATAAAAATTTGAAGAAGGCTTTGATCTATCTACCTAGTATATACTCTGGCACTGGCTATCGAATCAGAAGTTAGCGTGAATAGCAGTGTGTGCAGAACCTCCCGAATAGCAAAGACTGAGTTAATTTCATCATAATAAACAATAATCGAACGAAACGCTGTAAGAACTGTGCTATCCCTTAGGGTTATCTTCTTTCCAATTACTTTCCCCTTAAGGGACGCCGATTATTTACAAACAATACATGTAAATACCCGTCCTCATGTTAGCAGTGAACTTTCACTTTACCTTTAATAGAACTGAACTGGATTTGTTTTTTTCGCAAGTATTCTAATGTAAGTGAAATGCATTTAATAGTTAATTATAATACATTTCTTGGAATCTGAATTTACATAATTGTGGAGGCTTGCTATGAAGTTTTCTTAAAAAAAAGATTAATGCACAATTGCCTACGAATTTTTTCTCAAACTTTCTGCTCAATTTCCTTAAGCTACAAAAAAAAAAAAAAAATCTATTATTTCGTTATTTTATGTTAAATAAAAAATGAGCAGAATTTTTAGTATAAATAAAAGGGTCAGATTTCCAGAGCATCGCATTGTCGCTTCAACATGAAATTGTTTACGATATTAGTTTCGGTCTTGGCTTTAATAGCTGTAGCTATGGGTGAGTAAACGATTACATTCTTATCCCCGATAAATACAATTTTAGCAGGAGGTATTGTTTTATTTGAAAATCCTTTGATTTAATTGCAGGTTCACCTAATCCTGTGCCTGAACCTCAGGGAGGCGGTGGTGGCGCTGGCGGCAGTGGCAAGTAAAATTTTTTTTTCATTCGGCTTATCCCATATATTAAATACGTGGGATGGCTAGGTAGAAATCAAATAAGTGATCCACAATAAATAACTAAAACGTTTCCAAATAAAGAAAAAGAAAAAAAAAAACGTAATTTCGTATTTTTTATTTAAAATATATAAGTGGCTTAAGTTCTACGTATTCAGATTAGAATTATTAGAAGAAAATGTGATAAAAAATTCCTGCGCTTCAACAGAATTAACGGCAAGTAAACGAACCATGCCTTTCAGTGCAGGATTAAATAAAGCTTTTAAAAGTGTTTAATTGCTTGTTGGCATCCTTGAAGAATTTTATCCAATTCTTGAAAAAAAATTTGGAAAAATTTGAATTAAATGGGTCCGTACAAGTCGTCCTACAGGAAAATAGCCTTAATGTGGTGAAAGAGCCTAATTTTTAACGTCGTACAATGAATGCTGGTTCATCGAAGTAAAAATCAACGGTGCTGTATTCGGATCAATTGAGAATATTCATTCGGTAGTCAATTATAATTTTTATTTGGACCCTACCCGTTATAGGGCAAAAAAGTCATTATGATGAAAATAGTTGAACAGCAATAAGGTCTATGGCAAGAAGGTTAAGTGCAATTAATTTGGACCAGCACCTTCCACGTCTTGGGTTCGTTCCCATATAAGGGCTCTCATTGCCCTTATATGCTTTTGCATGGACGCGAAGTATAAGTTTTTGTATCTTAACACGAATGTAAGCGAAGAATTATATTAGGCTAATCCGCCTGAGTGGCCGAGTAGGCAAGAGTCTCGACTATCAACTCAATGGTCGTGGGTTCAAATCTCAAGTGCGGTAGAGTTTTTAATAAAGCCGAAAGCCTTAGATGCTAGTGCTTTAAGACTCTAGTCTTAGAATTTATTCTCTGGCTAAGTTTATAATAATAATAATAATAATAATATATTAGGCAAAGCAGAGCAGGGTATTTAAAGTTCGCCTTTTCCAGACCACAATGTATTCAGTTGAGTTTTTTTTTTTTAAATATCTACGGACTGTCGACTTTCAATAGCGCTATAGCATAATTTGTTAGCAAAGTTTTGCAGAAGTCGAAAGCCGTCTACAGGGGAAAAAAAAATCACGAAATTATATAATCACTTTCAAGGAAACGGAACGGTGACGGAGACGATGTCTCCAATGCGAAAGCCTCAATGGAAAGTCCATGATGAAGGAGATGGTTAAAACCAGGAGATGGTTGAAACGCATTCAACTCAGCAAGTTGGGAGCGCATCACGACGAACTATCCGGAATTATTTCAAAGCGGATTAATTTGAGGATAGACCCACAACCGATGAGAGGCAACCAAGAAACCACATAAAACAAGTGAAAATGTACCCCAGGGTTCAAGTTCTCTAGAATTGTATGTGAGAGGATATCGTGTATGTGTACATTTAGGCTGCTGAACAGATTAACGGAACAGCGCCACTTTCGGACCGAACATGCAGACGATTCTGGCGAGCGTCTGTGTAAAAGTTTGTCGGAAAAGGATCGATGAGTTCAAAAGTTTCAGATGAAAATAAGAATGAATTGCCGGCTTTTTTCGAGGCTACCTCGGTTCGTTTACTACTATGGGCGCGTCTGTGGACAAATAATATTCATATTTTGACCTTTCCTCCCCAATCGATTAAGAAATGTTTGTGTCCCTGCTTGGAAACAATAGATGTGGGCAAAATGTCAGTAGTCAAGTGTCCAGTGCTAAACTATCAAATTCGTTGGTATTATTACGTTTTAAGAATGCCTAGAACGTAAACAACAGTATGTTCATAGGCCAGTGCAAGAGAAGGATATTATTTCAAATCCTCTCATACCCACGCTTTCTAATAATTTCAATCTAAATTTAAATCTAAACTGTACATCATATGCAACTTGAAAAGAATTACGAAATTAATTTTTTTTTTCTGTTTCCAATGTTTTATTTTTCATCATCGCAAGTCAATTATTATTTCGTTCATGCAAAGTCATTCTGATTGTTGAAAGGCGTTGGGATGAAATGAATGGTCGAAGATTTATTTGCCACCGCCACCACCACCACCACCACCGCCACCGCCATAAAGACCACCACCGCCACCGCCGCCACCGCCTCCTCCTTGAGGTTCGGGCACAGGATTGGGTGAACCTATGGTTAAGCGGAATAAATGAATGCAATTAAATAATAATTTTTGTCTTTTTTTGAAAAGGACATGATTTACTCACCCATAGCTACAGCTATTAAAGCCAGTATCGATGCTAATATCGTAAACAATTTCATGTTGAAGTGCTAATGTGATGCTCTGTCGATCTGACACTTTTATTTATACTAAATTTTTCTACTCATTACGTATTTAATATAAAGTAACGAAATAAAACATATTTGCTTTCTTCTTTATTTTCTTTATTCTTTTTTTTTTTTTAATTAATGACATATGAGCAGCGAGCCTGATAACAAAATTCACGGTCAATTCCATATGGGTTTTTTTTGGGAAACCCAATAAAAAAAACAAGTTCTCAAAAGTATTAAAATTCTAAGAAATTTAATCAAGTGTGCATAAGTGCATTTCGCATTTCGCTTATACCAAACAAAAGTTATAATGCTATCGCGATCACGAGACACTTTACCCCACTCGCCCAATTCAATATATTATTTCACTTGTTTTCGTCATAGAATACACGTTGTTATCATGTAAATACTTCCGATTCACATGACCATCTATATGTAGGGGTAAGGACCCGTAAAACAAACATATACAGGGCAAGTTTATCGTATTTAAATATTAAATCGCAAGTTTCGAAAAAATTTCGCTCGTAAAATTCTCAAAGTTAGACCTCATTCTCACCGCATGTAGTTGTAGCTTTTTGCCTGCGAAGAGATTACAAAAAGTCGAACGATCCAAACATTCTATATACTATTACATGCATACTATTCTCCATCGGTTTTTTTTCAAAGATGGTCGCATCAATGGTCGAATCTTCGAAACCTATTCCGAGAGCATCATTCATCTTTGGGCCAATTATGTCATTGATCTGATCAAGTGATCTCAAAAATTGCGATGTCTAGATGGAGCAGAAAAATGCTTAGGCATACAAATTGAATGCTTGCACTCTTACGCTCCCAGCAGCTGTAGGGTATAATGATTTGTTTACAAACAGTGCTATTTTAGTTCTAGTAAAGATAGAGGGAAAGGTCAGTGCTTGCATGTGGTCGTGCGTTCATAATTCCTATGTTGTTATTCGAATACAGTTTTTTCTTAGGATCGATTTGTCGTTTACCTATTAATATATGATGACGATGAGAAGGGTAGAAACGGGTCAAGGGAGGGGGGTGTGGGGTGGAGTCGTTCAGGGACTTTATTTATTTTCTTAGTCGTTGTGCTAAGGTTACTTGTTGAAATTTTAATTAAATCATAAGTATCGTAAGTCAGTGTTCGTTACGTATTAGAAAATTGCTTTCCATTGTTACTTATAGATATGTACTTTAATTGATTCAATAATTAATTAAAAAACATTTTTTTTATGTCAAATCAATATAAGTTTTGTCGTTTACTTGCATGCATTAAGACGTAAGGCGTGTATCTGACATAGATGTATAAATAGAATATAAATGAAATATTAAAGAAACTAACCGCCCATGCAAGGCTTGACAATGTTTTCAAATTTGAAAAATTAGCGATGTGAAGTGACTTTGTCCATTCATGCACTTGACTTGTCTCTTACTTTCTTCCTTACTTTCAACAAAGTAACACAGAACATTAAACAAGGAGTGCATCCTTAAAACCAAAGTGGAGATGTGCTGCCCCACTCATAAGAAAGAAGGGCCAGGATTGATTATTTAGCACTCTACTGAAACCGTTGCGTATTCAATAGACCGCAATAAACATGACAGCATAGATGTGCAGCTTCTCACAATAGCCAATGAAAGATCACTTTATTTTCGTCTTAGCCAAAGCTTATAACTCTTCATATCGCTCACAATTTCTATCAAAGGGTCGACGCATTTAGAAAAGAAAGAAGGCGTGAGAACATATTTCTTGAAAACTTTTTAAGTGATCAGGGTCGGTGCATTATACAAGCAACAGGGGCATACTTGCTTTGAAAATGACGGGACCGATTTTATCGCTTTTAATATTTCCTATAGATTGTACTTTATGTTGAATTGTCTGACTTTTGTAGTCTTGGTGAACGTATTGCTAGCATTTTAAAGAGTTAAGTCAAGAATGCGTAGACATGTACTTTAGAAAACCTTTGAGGGGTATTTTTAAGAATTATACAGTTTCTGAATCCTTAGTGGGGGCTACTGGACATCATACCAAAAATTTGGTCAAATATTCACAAAAAATTCTTCATTATCCAAATTTGGTTGCTAGGAAAATAATTCCGGCAATATGCTCGTTATTAAGCGATTATCATCTGAGTGCCTAAGACTTCGATCAGTGAGAAAATATTAATTTAATGCTTGTTTTACCTCTTACCGAATCGCTCAAGCATTTTCCTTTGGGAAATTCATTTTACAATTAATTACACCACAACCACGCAACGTTTCATTGCGTACGGAGGAGGGGGACGAGGTTAAGAGGATCGATAGAGTATGCAGTTAGATCTTTAGTATGAGCAAATGCTTTTCATTATTTTGCTGAAAGTTCTTCTATATATATATATGTATGTATTATATGTCCTCTTCTTCTTTTTTTCGCCCATGAAAACTAGCGTAGTAAGGTATAAAAAGGAAGGATACAGGGAATAAAACGATAAATGTTGAAAAATGATTTTGTTGATTTTTTTATATTTAATACAATGACATACGGATTGAGAATTGAAATCAAATTGATTTTATATTCTATGCGACAACTGATGTTAGCGCATGTAATTATCATTTTATTGATGGAACATTTGAATGCATCATCATCATCTTATCCGCTTGTTCTTCTTATCACTAATGTCGGATTAACTGGCTTAATAGAAGCAGTAAAGAACAAATTGCATTCTATAAGCGATATATAGACAATTTATCCCGTTATCTGCATACCTGGCTATGCATATTAACTGGCGTGAAATTTTTCCATCTTATGTAGCCCGTTGACTGTGCTATAAAATTAGGCTATGCTCACATGTTAAGACGCATTTTGTCATTTTCCTCCATCATAATAATATAAAAGAAAAATTTACCCTTAAATTTAAACAAAATTAAAATAAATAATATTGTCCGTTCTATTGCAATTACATTCTTTCTTACCATTTATTTATCATGTCTTGTGTTAAAGTATAAGTGTAGTATATAAAATACGTTGTAAAAAATTTTCAAAGGAATTGAACGATATGTCATTTGAAGCATTTGAAGAACTCAACTCAACAACAAGAAATCCATTCTATTGGGACATTAAGGACCACTAAAATAATCGATGCGTGTGATACGTATATACGTAAAACCTTAACTTGAATGTAAAAAATTTCTTAAATGGAAATATCATTCTGCAATTTTTTTAACGATGGGATGTAAAGAGAGATACTACTTCGTCTTCTTCTTCTTCTTATTCTGTTATTTAGCAAACCAGCAATTGAAAGTTCCCTAAGAGAGATATTACTTCTTCTTCTTCTTCTTCTTGTATTATTTAGCAAACCAACAATTGAAAGTTCGCTGAGATGTGTTAAGGGAGATATTTCTTCTTCTTTTTCTTCTATTGTTCTATTCTTCTTCTTCTTCTATTATTTAGCAAATCAATAATTGAAAGTTCGCTAAAATATGTTAAGGGAGATATCGCAACTACTTAGTTCTAAATGTCATGTTCATTCCTTTTTCTAAAACTTCTGACTTCTGTAATACAATTTATTTTATTTCATTTATTTTTCGTGATCTTTTCTCCGAGTTAGTTTATAAACTTTTATGGTTAGATTTTACATTCAGATCTAATTGATGTGAAAGATTATTTTCAATTATCTACGTGCCGGTATTTAGTAATTGAAGGTATCTAAATGCAATACAAATAAGAATAAAAATGTACTCTTACACTTCATTATATACAGCTGGATATATATTTCAATTCGTATTCGCATTTAATGTCTCGTGTGCTTCAAGAGAGCCTTTACGTTAAATGCATTCAGATTTTTTCTAGACGTTATCTCTCACACGTTAAGCATTTTACATTTGCACACTTTAATATGTATAGTAGATTGTGCAATCGTACAATAGTTCTGCTTTGGTCTCAACTATAAAAGGTTTAGCTGTTTGGATTGACAGACGCGTTGTAGAAATGAAGTCGTTGTCGTTGCTTATCTTGTGTGTTTTAATCGCAAGTTGCTTAGGTAAAGCTCAGCTTTCCGGTGGTGGAGGTGGCCCCACTGGGGGAGGTGGCGGAGGTCCTAATGGCGGAGGCGGCGGTGGCCCTAATGGAGGAGGTGGTGGTGGTCCTAATGGAGGGGGAGGTGGTGGCCCTAATGGAGGAGGCGGCGGAGGTCCCAACGGAGGTGGTGGTGGTCCTAATGGAGGAGGTGGCGGTGGGCCTAACGGGGGAGGCGGCGGTGGTCCTAATGGAGGTGGTGGTGGTGGTGGTTCTAATCTCAGACCTGGTAACGATTTTAAGTAAAAATCGTGCCCACTAGGGCCCAAGACCACAGGATTGGACATTGCATTTTCTATTGGAATTGATTCATGTTAAATATTTAAAGTATAATATTAAAAATTTTGAAAAAAAAAAAAAAAAATTCATTGTGTTGTTCAAATTCATTATCATCAGTCGACGATATTTAATATCTAACACTGCTGTACTTTGATGCAGGGAGTATGCGAAATTTTTGAATTAAACATTATAATCGGGTAATTCCGACTCATAAACATCTTGCATCATTTCCGTAGTATATTTTTCAACAGAACCTTACGTGGGATGGGGTAAACGTTGGAAATTTTCATTAAATTTCTTTTTCATCAAAAAAAATTGCAACAAATTAGATTTGCTTGATGTATTAAGGGGTAATTTTCTCACGAATTGTTATTTTAGAGAAAGCACAAAAATAGATCCATCCGATCCAAACTGTTCACATCAGTTTAGTCTATCGAAATGATATAGGGGCGACACAAAATGAACGCAGTTATTATATGAGGATCGGCCGTAAAAATAGGCCGACCCAAACCATTTATATCCATAATGCTAGTCCTTCGTCTAAAGCATCTTAGTGTACCAAATTTTGTCAAAGTGTATTAAAAATTACAACTTGCAGGCTAAACGCTTTCTGTATTCATGAGGGACAGGCGTACAGGTCATAAAGAGTTTGGCATTTACAATTTTTTTTCCAAACATATAAAAAAATTACTTTGCATGCGTCGAGCAAGGAATCCCGCAACTCTTCTCAGTACAATCAATTTGCGGAAAAGATATGAACTAGTAGCCTATAGGCTTTTAATTTCATACTGTATGCCCTGAATGTTAATAATAAAGTTAAAGAATTACAAGAATATACGAAAAGTTAGTCTTCAGTTGCCGTTAAACTTGTATCGAACTGATTGTTTCAATAATACGAAGAAATGCGAATTGAAGAATTCGCTTTCGGACTGACTTTCTTTTGCAATTTTCTTAAGACCACATAATTGGTGGTGAAAATAGAAAAAAGACTAACATAAGGTTAGAGAAGAAATGATGAGAAGGACTGGCCTCATCGATTCATTGGCAAGAACGTGTGCTATATTTTCCATCCAAATAAATTCTATTCTGGTTACAATAAACCGAAATACCTATTAAAGTTTCCATAGAGCACACATATACATTGATAATATTATACTTAATATTCTCTTTAACAGATTTGTTCAGAACTAACTGTTTTCCGTTTGTTATCGACAGGTTCGTAGGTATAAATCCTAAATTTGGTACGATTACTTGACGCAATCAGTTAAATGTTCGCTGGTCGCAATTAATCCGCGTCGGTCAATGGTAATCGAGGGATCATACTAACTAGCAAATAGAATTTTATTACTTTCTATCGGCAATAGCAGCCTATCTGTTTGATTGCAGAAGCCTTCTTCTAAGTCTTCCCTAGATCAAGGCTTAAAATCAATATTGTTAAATATGCTGAGATCGCTCGTTAATAGATCGATATTTTGTCGCTTGTGATTAACTTCTTTTAGATATGGAGTCTGATCACGGAGTTATGTGAATTGATAATGCAAGATATTTACTTACTTACTCTATAACAAACGCATCATAAAGCAAACAAAGCGTATTTACATGCGTTATATAAAATGTCCGAGAAGATAAGAGAAAATCTCAAGGATGAACAAAGACTAAACATTATATAGACCGACGTTAGAACGATCAATACATACGTATAGGAGTTTGCGTAAAGATATTGCGTTCGTTGCCTGCTTTTTGCTTTTAATCTTCAAATGGTATTCAAGCGTGACTAAGTATCTATCTATATATCTATTGAATTTATCTTAAAAGTAAATATTGCTTTTTTCAATATACATTTAATGTCATTTAATAATTTATTTGTCTTAATATTGTACTTTATTAAGATTTTGTCATATTAATATTATGACAATAACAACAACAATAGATGTAAAAAAAAAAAACACCTCAAACATTTGCTCAAAGACATAAATTAGCAGCCGATAGTTAGTGAGTGTTTGCTGTTGCACCAATCGCGGCGGTATAATTATATGTATGCAAATATTTTCTTTTTAAATAAAATTAATATTCTAAGACGTTCGTTCGAACTAATCGAATTACAAATTGAGATTTTGTTATATGGTATATATATATATATGTATACATTGTTCATATATACGAGCATATAAGATTATTTTATTACCTCTGCCGTTTCTGATAGTGCACGGCTGCCTCGTATGTAAGCGATAAAATATTTCTAGAGCTTATCTCTTTCGCTCGCACTTGACTTGCATATATTTGGCGGGTATGGCCTGTTGTTTTTCGGTTAAGTGAAAACTTCAGTCAGACTTTCTCAAGTATAAAAGCAAGAGTTGTGTACGGGATTCGAAGTTGTTTTAAAAATGAAATTGACGCTGTTGCTTGCTTTGTGTGTTTTATTGGGAAGCTGTTGTCTAAGTAATGCTCAATATGGCGGCGGCGGTGGGGGTCCGTATGGCGGTGGCGGCGGTCCTTTAGGTGGTGGCGGCGGGGGTCCTAGTGGCGGAGGCGGTGGCCCGTATGGCGGCGGTGGCGGTGGTCCTTACGGCGGTGGTGGTGGTCCTTATGGCGGCGGCGGTGGTGGCCCCTATGGTGGTGGTGGCGGTAATCGCCGCGGTGGTGGTTATTAACACTTAATTTCTCATCTACAAATTTGATAACCAACAAGAACAAATTTTTCTGTTTGATTCAGGTTTAATAAATAACCGAATAAATAAAATTCAATATGCGTTTACATTGAATATTATTACATTCAGATCTTAACAGAGATTGAAGAAGACATGTTACTCGATTCAGAGAAGAATATAAAGGGGCGAAACTGCGTATCGTCTCGCTTTCTTCTTGCGTAATTCCAAAAATCACGCCATTTTTCAACTGTCGTCATCTAATTGCAAGGCTTTAAAATAGATTCACTAATTGAAAGTTGCAAACACTTCCCCCATTCTTGCCCTGACCAATAATGCTTATCTCCGTTTGTGTGGTGGATAGGTAAGCAATTAAAATTATTGCACCTAACTCTCTGGAGAATTAAGTGAAATGGGTGCACGAGTCTTTCCGACAAGGATACGAGTTCGAGGCAAATTTTGAGCTAGCGGAGTAATTAGACACTGCTTTTTTAAAATGCTGTTAATTTGCATAGCGGACCGAAAAGACTCAGAAATCCGCACCAAGACCTATCTTCATCATTTCCTGTTTGTTTTTTTTTTTTCTTTTGAAGAAAAGTCTATAAGCAGAGTCCCAAATTCATCTTGATTCTCGCCTCTAAAGGGGATATACGACAAAGGTTTCCATTTAGTGTATATTGTAAAAATTAGCTCAGTCGAGATCTGAAGTTCTCTTGAATCAAAAATATAATGAAGACTCTTCGCTTTGAGTACGATATCAAAATTCCCATAGATGATATTTTGTGAGATTCGTCCTCTACGCAATACTTTATTGTGTTGTATCTTTATAATTTCCATCCGATTGCCTCTCTTCCTCCCTATGAAAATAGGTTGCTTCCTTACCGTCTCTTGAGAAACGTAGGTTTGTTTTTGGCGTTTCCTTTGTAATCAAAGGTACTATTGACTCGCCTTTATTAATTGGTGAAATAAGCTTTAATGTCCCTAACCGCTTCTCTAGGCACTTTAGCTTGGTTAAGCTTAGTCAGTGTAAATATAATTATGAGCTGTTTAATCCGCTCAGAGTAGTTTGCAAGAACCTAAATGACGTCTATCACTTATTCTTATTATCGGACTCTTTAAAGTCCATTAAAGCAACATTGCTTAATACGCGCGATTTACCTATGCCGTATTTAAACCAGTTTTTATCCTTAAAAGTCGTTACGGTTGCCAGGCTTATGCATGTTTGCGATGGCTTAGGGGTTCATTTGCAATTTGGTCTTGTACCGGTTGTTAGTGTGGCTCTATGCTGGTTGGGTACATGCTTTATTTCTTTTTTCTTTTAAACGAAATGTATTTCTGAAAAATGCGGTAGAAGTGCCTCGCTTCAAAGATTCCTTCATCATAAAGCTGTACGTTACGGCCAATCGATTATTAAATGCTTTACTCCATTTCGCATAACACGATTCATTGTTTATTTTCTTGATAAAATATGAAAAATTATACCTTGTTTCCATGCGAAGACATACTTTTTGTAGGGGCTTTTATATGGGAGGGGACGCAAAACATAAACAGATGAGCTGAAAATTTCGCAAAAGTAATTTTTTAATTTAATAGCCTTCGACTATTTTTTGTCATAAAGTGTTAAAGATTAGCTTGTCTTGCCATATAAGGAGTTGACTTTCATGCGAACGCTTATATGGGATGGAATACGGAAAACAGATCTATGTATGTTAATTTGCCAAATTCCGTTCGGCTTCGGTGTTGAAGTCAAATATATATATGGGCATCAGATATTAGATGGACAGACACACAAGTAAAAAGTGGATTTTGCCTTAAGTTACATAAATAGTGTAGGGTAAAACGACAATCATGGAGAGGATGCGAGAAAACGTAATTGATTTTTGTTAAAGTTTCCCGCTTTAGAAAATATCCAATTATTCGTGAGTGAAGGTTGGCATTGACTTGTGCATCAACAGGATAGTACTAACCGGGATTATTTATAAACTACTTTGTAAACTTTTATTTGATTTGCTTTTCATACATTTCCATTAACACAAGCAGGTTGCAATTTCGCACACATCTGTTGCTACGATGGCATTGCAATGCGATACAATATGTCCGTCACACCGTGCAAGATTCTCTCTTAACAATTTTGTTGACTTGAACATCAACTAAAAACAGCTGGGAACGCAAATGAATTGTACAACGTTGACCTGGAAGCAACCTCGTAACAATGAAGCATCCAAAGAAATCAAGCGAACGAGATTTAAAACAAAAAAAAATAAAAATAATAATAATAAAAATAAAAATAAAAAACTTTTGTTTTTACATAAACTATTATTTCAGTGAGTACGTGATACGGTGGAAAGTACACTTTAGAAAAAGCCGGATCTCTTACAAATGAACGCATTAAGCGCGTCAAGCTTTTACGCATGACTGAGATGGCATTTATTTTGACCTTTTAGTTCACTTAATTGAAAGTTTATTTAGTAGAAATTTTATTATTATTATTATTATTAATTTCGCCAGAGAAATAAATTCTAAGACTAAACTCTTAAACTCTTAAACTCTTAAAAGCACTAGCATCTAAGGCTATCGGCCTTTATTAAAAACTCTACCGCACTTGAGATTCGAACCCACGACCACTGAGTTGCTAGTCGAGACTCTTGCCTATTCGGCCACCCAGGCGGATAGAAATTTTATTTTTATATAACTTATAGAAATTGGGATAAATTTTTCATAATGACTTTTATTATTTCAAATTTTCAATATTTCGAAAGTTTATGAAGAGAAATTGTCGGAGGAGATTGATTGGCCTACAGACATACAAATCTGAGAGTTTTTCTCTTCGTTAATATTCTTATGGCCATGAGTAGGGTATATATAGGGTGTGTTGTAAGCTGTGTTGATGAACGCTGCCAACACCGACAGCGACATGATAGATTGATTTTTCAGGACGATGGCCGTTCGGTCTTATATTAAAATTACGGAAATTTTGCGGCATTTTGTGTTTCCATGTCGTAAGATGGCGATTGACCGGGAAAGTACTATTTGAAAGTTGATTTTTGGAATTGGGGCAGTGAGCGGTAGATTAGAGCCAAGTTTCGTTGACGGTAAGTTCTAAAATAAAATACTAGAGAAGCTATGCACATTCAAGGTCGTTATAAGTAGCTATTATCTACTCTCGATACGTTATGCACGTTATGTAAGTATTGTAAGTATGAGTGTTAATATGAATACTTTCGTGAAATATTTACTTTTGAATGAATGTTGATATAGTTGCTCTGGAAACGCGTTTCTTCGTTCCGGTTTTTTTGCAGTCGGGGCACTGCCCGCGCTTTTTTATTTAACCTATACTTGTACATATTACTTAAAAGATTCCATGCGTTCATATACATATAAAATATTGCATATCATTCCGAATACAATTTCTTTTCATTACTTGAACATTCATTACTAATCTGAAACTTTATCGTAAACAAAAAATAGATTTTGTAATACTTTTGTGTTTAGAGAGAGAAGGAATTAAAAAAAATTTTATTTCCAACTTTTTCTATTAGGTATTTGCAAAAATTTTGATCACTTTTTTATCTGAAAAAGTCATTTATTTTGGGAAATTGGCGCGATATACATTAATCAAAATAGTTTCCATCATTTCCGTCTACAACAAGTTTACAATAATTTTGGCAACACGGCGATATAATATGTCGAAAGGATTTGCATTGATTTGCCAGCAATTCACTCAATGATCCATTTACGCCCTTCTTCAACTTTACGTATCCGCGTACCAGTTAAGCCGTGCTGCAGCGATCTGAGTAAATGGCAGTTCGGAGATGCCATGCCTGGTGACGGATATGCTTGGTGGGGCAGGACTTCCCATTTCAACTGCAATAGCGTATCCTGGACAACACTTGCCACAAGTGGTCAAAAAATGACATTTTCAGTCAATTCGTGTCGCCGCTTTGAAGTCGTTGACGCCAAAACCGACAATTGCGATATAATGGAGCAGGAGCATCATAAGCCCCTGAATGTGTTCGTTCGCAGATTTCTTCAAATAAATAAAAATAAAAGTAATGAATTTGGAAGAAGAAGAAAAGTTTTTGAGCTGTCCATGTTTCACGCGAGCATACACTCAATAAATCGATAATATATAAAAAGGAAACTGTCATTTTATGTAGAGGAAGGTCAAAACTATCGAATTCAAGCGTTATGCACACTGGCATTTCCCAGGTCTTTGTCATTTTTATCTGTAAAAGTCGCTGATCAAAATTTTCGCAAACACCTAACATTATAATGAATATTAAATTAAAGTATTTGTTAATCTTATGGGTGTGTCTTCACATATCTTGAAATTGTTATCCGTTGCAATAATTGTAATAATTGTAATCATATGCATGCAAAAAAAAACTTTATGTTCAACATCGAAGATATATTATATATGATATTCCTATTGCAACATATATATATATTCTTGGTCTTGATCCAAGATTCTCATCGCAGTTTTAGCTAGAAGGTCCAGTTTTGGGTTTAAGAATTGGTGTATTATTCTCGTAGTAGTACGCTTGCAATACTCAAGAAAGCTAAGCAAAAATAGTAAGAAAAATTTACATTCACAGACTATTTTGTCAATGAGGCCGAAGAGGCCGGGCAAGTATTTCTCTAAAGCTTGATAAAGATATTTAATAGAATCGGGCCAACATTTACGACGGCACTTCGTATCGGCCAATTAATGCGTACCCATCTACGCGTGAAAGTTTTGTGAGTACGGCAATGACGGGTATCCGAGATTCTACCCAGAGCGGAAAAAATTTCTCATTTATTTTAAACGTCATCAATATTTTAATATGTTTACACAAAATAACCAGATAGATAAGTCGTGCACTAAAAGATTATATCATAGTTCCTAGCGTTTCGTATTATATCCCTCTACTTAAAGTATAGAATTTTCCGTAAGGGTTCTCTCTTTCTCACTCGCATTTAACATGCGCACAATTTAATGGGATGCCCCGTCGTTATCCAATTAGTGCCAACTTCCATTCGACTGTTTTCAAATATAAAAGCAAGAGTTGCTGGAAGCAAGGGCTTCAAAGTTGTTTTAAAAATGAAATTGACTCTACTACTCGTTTTTTTCGTCTTGCTGGGTAGTTGTTGTCTCAGTCAGGCACAATACGGTGGCGGTGGCGGTGGCGGTCGTTATGGTGGCGGCGGGGGCGGTGGTCCGTACGGCAGTAGGGGCGGTCGTGGCGGTGGTACTTATGGAGGCGGTGGTGGAGGTCCTTATAGCGGCGGCGGTGGTGGTGGTCCTTACGGTGGCCGTGGAGGTGGTCCCTACGGTGGCGGTGGTGGTGGCGGTTAAAAGTTATTGCTTTCTCAAGTGCCCAACCTAGTAAGAAGTGAAAATCTTCATTTAAAGAAATTGTGAATTGTGAAACCGAGTTCAATTTAATCGATGAAATAAAGTTTAATGCGTCTTTTTTAGACGCAATAATCTTAAAATGATAAATGAAAGAAATGCTGCTTTCAGAAAGTACAAGGAATTCTTATTTAAAAAGCACTGCGCTTCATATATTTTTTGTATGCTTTATTACCTATCGTTTATATTCGTTAGGAGATTTGTGTTATTTGGTTTTTTTTATTTTGTTGATTCTTATACCCATCAACGAGGGATGAGGCGCGAATTCATTTTGTCGAAACATTTGCAACACTCAGAAGGAAGCTCCGGGCGCCAGGGACCCTATAAAATCGATATATTCTTGATCAGTGTTGAATTTTAAGCCGATTTAAGCATCTCCGACTATCTCGTCCGTTAATACGACATGATCACCCAATGATATCTTTTATCGAATCCTATATTGGGGTTTTTACAAAAGACTACCAAGCGGTTGGAAGCCTCGTAGTACATGAATATGAAGTTTATTTTTTTTAATGAAGTGTAGAGCAACGATTTGAAGCATTTTGTAAGCAAAAGGGTAACGCCATTTAACTATGCTTTACTAGGAAAAAGACATCTTCGCTTCTCAAGTAAAGAACCGGCTTAATAGTAGTAATCAATTCTCATACGATGTCATCCTTGACTAACGGATGCCATCTGAAATTCCGTAGGACAAAGAGAGAGAATCGTTTCTCAATGGATTCTATTGAATCAACATAAAATCAGAAGGAAGGATTCTGCACAGCAAATATTTATTCCAGTATTGAGTACACAAAATTATGTTCAGGATATGACAAAAAAAAAAAAAAAAAAAACAAGTAAGAAAGTTATGTTCGGCGGTGACCGAATCTTGCATACCCATCGCTATGCTTTTCGCATTCTACTCTCCAAGTTATTTTATTTGATACCCATATCGATGAAGAAAAAATAAATCGCGCTGTCTATCATAGTCATTTCAAAATTAGCCCATTTTTAGGCAGATAATATATCTTCACTTGAGAAGTGTATAAAATAGTTTTAAACGCTTTGTCTTGTTTGCCGTATGATAAACAAGTCATAAGCCTTGAAGAAGTGGAAAAAATCAAATTTAAATACTTATAACTTTATGTGGGCATGGCCAATTGGTTGCATTTTAAAGCCTTTTAGAGTAAACTGCCTCGTAAAGCAAATGTTGACAGTTTTCTAATAATTTCTGAATAAAAAATCGACAAATTTTTGTTAGAAAAACCGAGTTGCGTTCAGTTTACGCTTCGCTGCGTGCTTCTGCTCTGAACCAATCCGTTCGATCCGTTTTCAATACCAACCAGCATGCAGAAACGTCCAATGCTTCTACCAAATTTAAAGTTGATATCACACAAGCACACAGACGGACGGACGGACGGACGGACGGACATGGCTAAATCAATGCAGAATTTCACACTGATCAAGAATATGTATGCTGGAAAATATATAATATATATTATGGAAAAAAAGTAGTGATGGGGGTATAATAACACAATATCGCCCCCAAAATGCTACACAAAGCAAGCACAAAACAAAGGTTTGCAATTAAGATTCTTATACCCCGCATGGATTGCTGAATAGTCAAAGAATCGCGGGTATAATATGATTTAAGCTATACGGTGCCCTTAAATCCATACTTTATGAATTTATGTAAAATAAAAAAAATAAATAAATCAATTAGGTTCTCTTATGTAAATTTATTTTTCAATCAATTACTTTGTGCGTCTGCTTCGTAACTCACAACAGAAATTTGCAAACGTGTCCGAATCAATTATTGTAAATGTTGCTAAACTTGCCTCTAGGGTTTTATCAACTATAACACAAATTTGAATTCATTACAAGCAAAACTAATTAAATTAAAAAAAAAATTTACATTCAATTATTATTTAACTGACAACATCATCATCATTAGAAATCAATGTTTTGTAAACGTAAACCTACTTGCCAGGGCCTATTTGCCAAATTTCGCCAATTTGTGATATTTAAGTTTAATCGAAAATTTCATCAACAACAACAACGTTAAACGATATCATTAGCTCTAAGAATTAATTAAATCATTTATTTTTACATCCATATAAATGTTATAGATGAAGATGTTTGAAGCTTTCATAAGCAATTAACGTATCTTTCATTCGTGTAGCCCTCTCTGCCATACAAGTATTCTTCACGTCGTGAGATCTGCATGTCCGTGTGTTGTTTAAAATAAGCAGATATTGAGAGAAGAGTGTCATACAAAGTTGGGAAAATGAAGTGCTTAGTATTATTATTTGTTTTGTGTATTTTGTTGGCTAGCAGCAGTTGGTTATGCTCGGCGCAAGGCATAAAATGGGGAGGTGAACTTAGCTTTGGCGGTATCATTGACCGTCAACTAGGCGGCGGATCACACCGTCGAAGCGGAAGCGTAAGCGACAGTGCAGGCAGCGGCTCATTTTCTCGCCGTGGAGGTGATGAAGGTGGTGAAAGTTTTCGTCGCGATTAATTTCATTCCTTTTTTTTTTTTGTAAAAATTAAAAAAAATCAGTGCATCAACAATTAATAATAATTAATTTATTATTATAATTTTTTAAATGCAATAAATTGTTTATTTTTCTAATAATGAATATTTAAGGATTTCTCAACTTCATTTAGAGCTTTTAGTTGAGTCGGAATCTTTCATTAACTTTATCTCCAATTGCACTGAGACTTCTGACAAGAAAACATGGAATCTTTTCAAATCTCAAGATAGTCTGCCTGTCTGATTACTCTGTAGGTTCACTCTTTTATATTCAATAGATTCAATACTGCGGTCATAGTGAAAACTGTCGACCTTTTTACAATAGTCATCGTCAAGAACGAGATCAAAATCTGAGATTCGTAAACGTAAAGAAGCGATTCGAACTATGGTTCTAGCGATAGATGAAATATGAGATGAGGTATTATCATGAATCCTGAAAACCTGCTGCAGAAAGCTGCAATAAGTTCGTAGGCAACTCCTCGGTAATTGTTTTACATTTTTGAAAATAATCAATGAGAATTAGCTTACGCGCATGGCAAGAAAGTGACGGCATCTGAAGATGCGTTCAGATGGAATTGTCTTGGCTGCCTTTGGCATCGATTCTAACCTTTTTAGGACATTGCTTCGACTATTATTCCCTATCAAGTGTGTAGTGTAGTGGTGGACTCATGTTTCGTCTATGATTATGAATCGAGGGGAAAAACACGATGAACCATCGGCGAACTCTCGATTGAGATTTTGTCACGACCTCGCTTCTATTTCCCCATGATTAACGTATTTATTAGCGCATGCATTTAAGTTGTGTTGTATATAAATAATGATAACAAATCCATTGAGACGATTAACAGAACGTCAAACAAATACCAAAGAAACGCAACATCTTGATACTTCACACTTCAACTTTACATGGATAGCATCTTTTCTCAAAGAACAATTTATATCTACGCGTCAGATGAAGTAGCTACATACCCATACCCATACCCATCTTATCCAATTACTATGGAAAATTCAATAACTTTATAGCCATACACAAGCATTTATTTATTATCATCACGATATAAGGGAGTCAATAAGCCAATGAAAGATTGTTGCTATTGTTGTTTTATTCGCTATGCGGAATAAAATTCATTAGCAGAAAAAATTCTTCTCCTGCACATTTCGAGCTTTTCGCCAAGCGTTGCGAAAAGACTGCGTATCGCGAACGGATCCCTGATAGAAAATTGCACCCTATCTTCTTCGCTGTTATTATATAAGCTTTTTAAAACGGCAACCGATACCTTTTCCAAGTGTTTATGCTCATTTAAAAGCATTTTCAAGCAAGAAAAATGTGAGAATGAGGACGACCATGGATCAGATAAGAAGTGTTTTCGGAACTGATTCTAACTTCGTTCAAAGCAGCATAGGCGCATTTTCGAGCATAAAATCTTCGAGAACAGAAAATAACGACCAATATTTGACCAAGCAAAGGCAGCTTTTATGGTCCTAAGTAATGGAAGAAATAATAAACAACAAAACGAGCAAAAGGAGTGTTCTCAATTTTTGTTGCATTGTAGGCGTGTCCTTCGACCTATAAATTCTTTTGCAAATTTTTAGGTGATTTTTTAAATTTTGCGAACGGTAGAGTGCTTAGGTAGAGCGCACAAATAGTACTCCGTTGGGTACATGGGCAGATGGAAAGACGGGGTAGGGATTTTGACAAAAAAATAAAAATTGAACACTGGGTAGGCGTGGCCGTTCTTTTACTATTTATATACATATACTGCAGTATCACTCATAGAATATACATTCAAATGTTTATAAGTTTATCTGTAGTGAGGGCTTAACCAAAACTAATTTTTTTTCGCTGTAAAAAACATAGATCTTCTCAGTTTACATGGTATGTGTAGGCGTGTCGTTTCAGTAAATTCAATATTATTTGATTGATGTTCAAGTCGCGATTTTTCCAGAAAACGTTTATGAATATGTTATTTACGTTGATCGTAGAGGCAACGACACACTTCAAGAACAGGTCGGTATTCCTGCGAACGACGAATTTTATTGAAAATGGATCAGAAAATGGTCGTCTTTGCTCGAGTTGGAGCTCTTCTAACCTTTATCAGCCACATCTTGTATACTGTTTGCAAAAACACGCTAAAACGTTACCTCAAGTGGCGTCTATCTGAAGTTTGCTCCCGTTTATGCAATTTCATCCATCTTAAGCTGAGCACTTTTTCGCACGCTATCGTAATATACGACCGACCTACGTTTCTTCGCCCATAATCAATCCTCGAAAAAACTTCTCGAGTTCGTTTAATTTCAGCAATGATTAGCTGATGAAACTTTGGTCTCTTAAATTTTTCAATGATTTAACGCTTTTCTTCGGTCAGCACTTGGTTTCGTAGCGATATCTTGAGATGGAATGTGCCGGCTTCTTTAACTATTTGAAGGACGTCATTGATGTTATCAACAATTAGTCGGCCAGAGTTTTATTATCAAAACATCCCGGACGGGAACAAATAAACCACTTGCGTGTTACAGATTTTGATAAAGCGTTCTCATCATAAACTCCACACTCCAACTCTTCACAATTCTTTCTGCATTGAATTGCTTGAAACGATATTCCAAGATATAGTGAAATCTTTGAGAATTTCGGCAGATTTTCTAAACTCAATGACTTGCGGCCGGCAATGACAAATATTATAGCGTTTGTTTTCTATACCCTACACAAACTGCGTTAAATTTGCGCGGATGTAAGCAACACCCAGATGGACTCGAGATCGACGCATCTTTTATTATACCAATCGATTAGGGATCACTTTCTGGATCAGAATAACTTTCTGACTCGATTTAAGTTTGTCTGTACGTAATGTTGTCTTATATTCAACCTATGGACTGCAAATTTTTGCGATATTCTAATGAAATTTGATACGATGACTTGGTTTAGCCCAAGGACGAAAGCTATTGATAATGGCTTGCATGGGAGATGATCTCCCAGATGAAGCCTTATTTTGAAAATTCCTTATATGAATAACTGTAAATGCCCAAAGAGAAAAGAAAAACTATGTACACATTTAGCGCGGAAGCACACTCACTGCCGATCTAAATCCAAGTTGGGCGTAAATCCGCAAGTTATTGCAGACCGATTTTCCACCCCTATGAAGATATGAATATTAGACGCTAGTCCAGATACGACAAAGGCAAAGCGCCTGTTATGGAGTTAAGAGCTTATCCATTTCAATAAGTGTAAAGGGAAGCATCCCCTTTAGGAATCAACAATTTATGACCAAATGGAGAAAAATGCCTTGTTCATCACCTTTTCGTTTTTTTTTTTTTTGCGTTCGTTAAGAGGGCATATAAAAAGCCAAAAGTGCAATATAGCTTCAAGAAGGAAATACAGCGCTCTCTATATATATGTGTAAGTTTATGATGACCACACATCATTATTGTAAGTCATACTCAACTTTTTTGTTGCTTAGGTTCTGGCGGGTCCTTTGGCCGGATGCTTTAGTTAACTTGGCAGACATATTTTCTGGAATACAACAAAGGCTATGTCTATCAAATTTTACCTTTCTGAACAAATATTGAATACAAATAGTTAGGCAGGCGGACAAACGGACGAACTAAAACAATTCAGAATATGACCTATAATCTTATGCACTTGATTGATTGATTAAGCAAAATTTGTACACTTTCATCGATCCTAGCCCAACCGTAATGCAAGGAGCACACCGGTAACCCAAAGGGCGACCTGAACGAGTTCAATCTTCGAATGATATATATGTAGGACTTTTCTAAGTATTTCAATTATTTATTGAATGAGTATAAAATTGGCGTGCATTAACAAAATAAGTGAATTTAGTTAGCGCTGAAGTGAATTCACTTGCCACCGCCGCCGCCGCCACCACCACCGCCTTGCGGTAGAGGATGAGGATTAGGATTCGGAGAACCTAAAAATGATAGAAAAAAGAAAAAAAAAATTTTTTTTTTTGAACAAACCTATGAATTGAATGCGTTTACAATGCGTTAATAAGCTTACCCATAGCTACAGCTACAAGGGCTAATACAGCGGCCAGAACAGAAAATAATTTCATATTGCACTTGATGAACTCTCGATTAAAATGTTGATGTCTTCGCAGTTTATGTCGTTATTTATATTAGAAACAAAAAAAGAAAAACACATCCACACAAATCCAAACTGATCAAACGTAAATAGTTTTATTTCCCGTTGAGAATTTCGAGAAAAAAAGGAAAATAATAATAAGAAAGCAAATTTTTTTTTTTTCCTGGCTTGAATCGAATATGGAATAACCACCGATAGTGGTACGAGCTAATTCAATTTTTATGGCCGGTAAGTAACGCTTTTAAATTTTTCCGGTTTTTTTTTGATTTCCGCCCAATCGAACGCCCTAAAGTATAAAAGCATATCTGCAATCATATATATATCAGAAAATAAATTATGGCGTCTTAAGGTCTTAAGGTGAACTCTCTTCACGTTACATACGAAATGATAAAATCAACTCATTCGTTATTATGTTGATGTTGAAGAAAGAACCTCTAAACTGGTTAATAAAAATGTTATTTAATTTTATATTGAATTGCATGGGATTCGTAGAAGTAATTTTATAACCTGTTTCTTTTTACGATACAATTCATTTTTATTCATATTTGCAGCGAGAAAACAAATTGTTTATGCGCAACGCCAGATAGAATTATTACTCTATAATAATTAATAAATAGTTCCCATGATGAATGTAACGGTTCCGAACGCGTTGAAAAACATGATAAAAACTAATTACGACTTTTCAAAATCACTTATGTTCTGCATATAAGTAGCATAATACATAGCATATATATATATATATACCAACCAACTCAATGTTACCAACTTCAAATCTCAAATGCTACTGTCTTAAGACTTTAAGGTTTTACTCTTTCTCATATAAAAAATGATTAAAGTTTTTATTTAGTTCATTGATCGATTAAAGCGAAGGGAAACTACATTGAATTTTTCTCATTTCTTGCAGATTTTTTCTCGAATTTTTCTACGCGATCCTAATGATCGCTAGCAAAACACATAAAGTATTTTCCATTTTCGTGTACTTCTTTTGAGGTTATGTCGCGACATTGATCATTCCAAGCCGCCAAAAACTGATACTTTATCATGCAATAATCTACGCTTCAACAACGTTTGCAAATCTTACGCGCTTTCGTATCCCGCTGCTCAACATATAAAAAATATATTAAGTTTGTGTTGCAAGGACGAAACTGTTTATTTACTGGCGATGAAACGACTTATTAAGCGACCGCCTGCCTTTTCTATGTTGAAAAAGTGTACAATGTCGTTATTCTTGATACGCATTTACATCGTACATCTAACACAGGGAACTGTTTGAGGTAGACACACCTGTTATTATACCCATCGCTTCAAATGGAAATTCGTCTTTTCTTTTGTCTTGCTCTTTCATTACTTCTGCTCAACCTACAGTGGGCAAAATTTCGAATTATTTTGTTAAAATTTTGGCCGCTGACACATTTTGGACCTATTAGATGTGTTTCGCATTAGTTTTCAGGGCGCTTTTCTTTGTCCTTCTCTCCTCGTGGTATTCATTAACGACCACCTGGGCGTAATAGAAAGTCCTATCCAGTCGTCTGCAGACGATAGCACCTTGTGTCATCCGTTTTCCTTCAGTATGCCATGCCGTCTCCTATCCGGTTAAAATTAAAGTATAACCGGAATATGTGGGCGGAAGCATCAAAATATTGCTTGCAGGTTACGAAAGTTTGCATAAAACTCTCGATACTCTTGAGCATCGGCGTAAGATGGGCTGTATTGTGCTTATGTACAGGTGCACTCAGGCCAAGTGTTCTAGAGAGATAAAAGAGATTTGCCCACCAACAGGAGTACAGAGCTATCTCAGCGTTACCGCCCACCCGTGCAGCAGTTACTTGCATACTGCACAACACACGACCGCGACTCGTAGTTTTTAAACTGTACTACTTGTCTTTGGACCTGCCTATCAGCAGCGGCCTCTTCCATCGTAGCTGATGTCTCCATTTTCAAGTGGAACACACCACCCTTTCTGTCCACGCCTCTCTTCCTGATCACGTGTATGGCTGGTCATAGATTAGGAACAACAGATATTAAATAATACTTTAAAAGTTGTATAGATAAAAAATCGCGAGCTATAAGAATACAAAGCAGAGCAAAAAAGTCTTATGAAAAAAGAAAAGGATGCTGCTGTAAGTGTCGCGGCCATTTTGTTTTTAAAATACTATTGGAGCATAGTTTTAAATATTCCAATGAAAGTACGATTATGGGTAAATACATAAATACGAGAATATAATCCGTAATAAAATCCGAAGAAGATCGGTTTCTTCTCAATTGTGGACAGATCTGTCGATAAATTATGTGGATTTTTGGCTTGAATTTGATAGAAAGGGAAGAGAAAAAGTGTTCTTGCAGACAAAGTTTTGACGTCGCATTCATAACTTATACATCGGAATAGACAGACCGATAGATGTAAGTCTGCGTTTCATGCTACCGCTACTGTTATCGATGTCAAACAAATGTTTGACAAATTTGAAGCATCTTTTGTGTAGAATATAAAAATTAATATTTAAGTCATATGTACGGACAGAGGGGACATCAATTACGAATAAATTGAAATGTCAGTTCATTTCGGGGAAGCATTTAAAACGTAAATCTGTGACATAGACTTGTTAATGAAACCTATATCTGCGCGGGTACGACATTCAAATTCCGCGAACAACACACTTGCACACTTGTGCAACCTAAACTAGAAACCACATCAATTTGTTATTATTAATAAAAATAAGAAATTTATTGATATTGATAAGAGATGATCGTGTCAGGTTTCATATTTGTTTTTAATAATTCCAATACGAATAAAAGCAAAAGTTACCGCAATTTCATCTCTGATTATTGCTATTTCTGACAAATTGAGTAAATTTGAAAACCTTGCAAATATTCAGATTTAGTTTGCAAAGAGAGCTGTTGTCGTTAGTAAAAATAAGTAAAGCGCGAATGTTATTAGGATGAGATCACTTCTATTAGTTATAGGTATGTTATTAGTGTGGTGCAGTGTAGTTTGCCAAGGTCAATATGGTGGTGGGGGCGGAGGTCCTTATGGCGGAGGTGGTGGCGGTGGTGGTCCGTATGGCGGGGGTGGTGGCGGAAGTAGTCTAGGCGGTGGAAGAGGTGGGGGTTTTGGTCGAGGTAGCGGCGGTGGTGGTGGAGGCGGCGGAGGTGGTCCAGACGGAGGCTACGGGTATGGCGGTGTGGGTCCAAATGGAGGTTACGGCGGTGCTGGCGGTAACGGCGGTTACGGTTACTCTACTGGTGGTGGCCGTGGTGGTAGCGGTTCCAGCGGTCAAGGTTATGGCTATCATTACTAAAGCGTCATCGAAGTTCTTGAGACGGAAGCATTTCAGATAACTTGGTATCAGTTACGGCTCTTATCATCTACTTGCCTTTACATTCGAATTACTTGATTTACTTGAAACGTTAGTTTAAACAAAAATAAAAAAAAAAACGAAAAAAAAGAAAATTGAAAAAACTAATTTAAATTATATTTAAAATGGAAATTGTAAAGAAATTAAATAAATTAATAAAATAAATTAATTATTTTACAAGACTTATAAATCAGTCAATTGATGACAATTGTTTAGACATTTGTTATAGAAATCATAAGTTTTTGTGTTTGAGTGCAACTCAAAGCGAATGCACGTGATTAAATTGCCAGTTAGTTAGTTAGTCAGTCAGTCAGTCAGTCAGTTAGTCAGTCAGTCAGTCAGCGAGAGTTTAATATTTAATTGAAGTCAAGTCAGTTAATATTAATTACTATATAAAACTTTTATTTCTTTACACAATCTCGTATACATTGCAAAATATATAATATGTATGTATGCATGCATGCATGTGTTCATATCATGTATATAGGTAAAATTCTTGGAAAAAACAAGCCGCTGTATATTTTACAATAATAATAATAATAATAATTTTATTTAAATCAATGCGCAGTTTTTAGTGTAGAACGACTGACAATACAAGAGTCGCTTAGGCGCCATAATATGTCGTTATACTACTATTATCGTAAAGCAATTGCAAAGAAATTACGTGATTTGCATACGATTGAGGTAGCATCAGTTTACACTTTTGTAAAAAAAAAAAAAAAAACATCTAAGAAAATTATATTCAGTTGTGACCGAATCTTTTACGCCAATTACCCTTATCGTAAAAAATACTAGGAAAAGAAAAAAAGAAACATTTTCATATTCTATAATATTGGGTGGGCTCAAAATGAAGCTTCAGCGACCCCACGAAGTGGATGTATTCTTGAGCAGCTTGCAATTTTGCTTCGATCCGCTTTAAGCAAGATTGGAAGTTCTTGGTTGAAATTGAAAATCGCTCGACTCGGTCAAATGGCAAGCCTGTAGTACTACGTAAAATGGGAACGCCTTCGTTTTTCAAAAGCAATAAAAATTAGTTTTTTTTGTTCATTACTTGTACAAAAGCGGAAAAAATTGACCACGCCTACCTAATATTATAGTGTAATAAATTTTAATTTTTTTCCCCATAAAATACATAAATTGTTGGGTAATTTCAAATTCCAAATGCACCTAAGCAAGTCCATCTGTCCGTCTGTCCAACTGCGTAATGTCTATGGTAAACGTTGTCCCGTTAGTTGAAATAAAGATATCGCATACAAATTTGCAAAAGATTTTGAAAGTGGCCTAGATTTTTCATTGGACACGTCTACAACGCCCACAGGACTATGCGGCAAAAACTGTTCTTTTCGGAATAGAAAGAATTAGCCGCGCCCAATCCCCATTGCCGGCATCAAAATTTAGTTCTTCTATCTTTTTTGTCCTTTTTTAAGAGAACGGTGATGGATGTAAAAGCTTCGGTCACAACTGAATTTTCTTACTCGTTCAATTAAAAACATGTCAGCAAATCAGTCGCAACTCTTTAATACCTAGATGGCATTGAGAACCATTCAACTATCAATCTACAGATATCAACTAAGAACATATGTTCGCTATGTTTGGATTATCCATTTCATGTTTTTGAATAGAAGCGTTTCAAGCACAGCAGTTATTCAATATATCAATACGCACTTGCTGTTGCCATTATCACGCATCTCTGGGTGTGATAAAGGAAAGAGTTGATCTGGCATCTCTCTCAACTTTTCGATGATGAATATGAAAATTGTGATCTTGATCGGTTGTATCGCTACTGGCTATTATACGACAAATAATGTAACGCATAGTAAGCAAATTCAGAAATTTTGTTTTATATCATAAATAAAATAATAAACTTTATTGCGTCACCGCATAACTTTATGATCTATGTTTCTTGCACACAAGTACGTCAGGTTAATAGACAATTGAGCAACATAGATCATTACAATTTTAGTAACGATGGTACTGTTCGCAGCATATAATTGCTTGGGGAGAAATTAGTGAAATGTTTTTTTTTTTGCTACTTCTATACCATCCACCATTTATGCTATAGAGTATGTTAAGTATGGGCAGACTTATCAAACATGCAGAGGACTTTACGATAGACGCACCTTTCTCGACCGATTCAGCCCGATTTTCGAAATCGATCTGAGCTTGTCTATCGGCCTATCTGTAGGTTCTTCTCATAGGTGTCCATGTATTCTTGTATTCAACCTGCATGTCGCTCTTAGATATGTTTTGGAATGGTTCACTATTCCGATCAATTTGAATATTTGCACTTTGTTTTTCAACATTTTTCCGAGGAAAGCGCACTGAGTAATAGCACTTCGATATTTCAAATTGGTGTTGCAACTTTGGTTCGGCTGGGCTGATTTTTTGAACCCGCTTGTCATATAACCAACCGTTTCTACGAAAACTCAATCTTTTTTCGATACCGTACATAAGGATTATTAAGAAATGTAAACTCTTTTTATATGCCCAAAAGGCGTAATTGTTAATGTTTAATGTTCAACGTTTAATGTTTTAACTAGATGTGGCCTTTTTTATAGATCTTACTCCATATAAGATTTCTCATGAATAGTAAGCCCTTCAGCAAAAGCTTTAATTTTTAATATTTATTAATAAAAATGGATTCATAGTAGCAATTTAACAGAAAACTTATCGGTTAGGGAATTCGGATCACATAAGTCTATATTTTTAAGACTCGAACATATATAGAGGTTGTCACGAAAACCAAGCCCTTAAATGCCGAAAAACTTCTAGTTTAGACGCAAATAGAAGAATAATAAAATTTATGGAAAGTAAATCAAGTTTGCTCCATCTGGATTTTGTTATATCAAGTTTTGGACATTCTCCAGGCTTTGATTCGAAGTACACGTTTGCATGAAAATTATGCGTAATTTTGGCGAAGGTATCTAATGGTCGCCTTTGCTCGGCTATAATATTTTTACTTGTTCATTATACCAATCGTTAAAGAATCGTCTTTTGAATAGATTATGTCTGTCCATTCATATAAAAATTTTCGAGATATTTTGATGGCACAAATTTGGTACATTGACTATTCAAAATGCATTGGATCGATTCATTTTTACCACCAGCCTCCATATAAAGGCATATATGAAATAAATTTGCTATTGGAAATATTTACCAAGAAAAATCGGTTAAAAGTAATAATTTTTGGACACTAAATAGGGCGACATGGTTGAATTTCTTAAAACGCCCTTTATATAATCATTTTCACAATTTACGTATATATTATACCGTTATATAATATTTTATGCTAAACACTGGCCATAAATAGTGTTTTCAATGACATGTAAATTTACGGTACTTAGCTTGGATAATGTCGGTCTACTTGTCCTTCCCGCATAAGCGACTTTCTATAATGAAATGATTTAATTTGTGATATTTTATGAGAAAAATGCCGATCCAGGAGCACGGTCAATTATGACGTTTTAATTTACTTTAGTAAGAAGCTTAGTCTTAGTCTTGCCATATGTAGAAAATGCACAACCTTAACACTGTAAACTAAGAGAAAAACTGTAAAGCAAGTCGTTTATTTTGCAACATTGAATATATTACAAGATCTCTCCAGAGATAAAGATTACAAATTTTTTTATTCCTTTTGATTTCGTCTCTTGAACTAAGCATACTTGCGTCAAGCTTTACCTGTCTGTCAGTCAGTCTTTGCAACAGTAGATGACAGTTGAACGAATGGGTAAACGATAATGGCCAAAATGCAAGCACGATTCTAAGGACTGTGAAGAATGCAAGTGTTCTAATACAAAATATTAATATCGTCTAAAAATGGAGGGAAAAATTCAAAAAAAAAAAAATGCACTGAGTTTTTATCGATTGATTTGTTAATCACTGTTATGAGCTCGGTTATGCGTCTTTGATGAAAAATATCGAGAACTAATTCTTATGGCATAATTTTTTTTTTGTTATTGAGTTTTTCGGCGAACTCTTTTGGCGGTAGGCTTTCGTTCGCAAGGCATACCTGCATACAGATGGTTTGGTGAAAACCACGCTGGACCTTAACTGTTGACCATCAAGTGTATTAGGGCAGATGAAGAGAATTTGTCGGGTACCGCCATCGTTATGATTTATTCTCTATTATTCGTTTAGCAATAAGATCGAAATATAATGCAACAGTCACTCGTTCAAAAAAAACTAAACCTTTTTAATTATATTGAAAACAATTAAATATCAAAATTGATTGATTGATATTGTTAATTAGGAATTAATTAATTTGCGCGTATGTGCATAAACGTATAAGATTACATATGTGTATGTAGATGAGCAAAATTCAGTAAATCCAATATTATTAAAATGATATTCAAGTCGGGATTTTCCTAGAAAACATTTATAAATATTTTATTTGCATTGATTGTTGATAAATTCGTAGAGGCTGCGACAGATTTTGAAAACAGGTTCGATTTCCCATATTTGGTATAAATAGCGCTTATATTGTTCAATTGATCATCAGTCTTATTTCCGATGAAGTTCTACGTGCTATTTGCTTACCTTGTGGCTCTATTAGCCAGTCTATTGGCTGTGGCTAGTGGTAAGTTGAAAAACATCTCCTCGAGCTAAACAGTTCCGAGTAACATAAGTGAAATTTGTCTATTTTAAGCCTCACCTAATCCTAATCCTGTACCTCATCCCAACCATGGCCATGAGGCTGGTTTCGGCGGAGGTGGTGGTGGCGGCGGCGGTGGCGGTGCTGCCTTCGGCGGTGGTGGTGGTGGTGGCGGAGGTGGTGGTGGCAAATAAGTCGCCTATCCTTCTTAAAAATCAATTATCTACCGTTTTGCGTCGACCACTGTAACTCTTAATGCTTTCTTACGTAAGAATAAAATTGTAATGTTTGGACAGTTTTGCAAATAAAAATTCATATCATATCTGATCTACGCCTGAAATTTTTCAATATTTTCAAATGGGAATATTTATGATCGCTTTATGCTGCAGGACATTACAAGTTCTCTTACATTCGTAGGTTCTTGCTTTGTTAGAAGTGAAGTTTTGTCGAGCAATAATATTAGGTAGTTGCATATATTTTGGCCATATTTTGACTTGAATAAAGAATTCATTGTTGAAAATTGCCACAATATATATTAATCGAAATAGTTTTGCATCATTTTCTGCAACATTTTATAATTGGTTTAGCAACCTTGCGATAGCATGTCGAACGAACTTATATTGGTTTGGCAGCGATCCATTTTCACGGTTCTTTAACTTTGCGGAGCCGTGTGCCATCCAAGCCATTATGCATCGATCTGTACAAGTGGTTATCAGAAGACGCCATATCTGGCGAGTACGCTGGGTGCGGCAGAACTTCCCATTCGAGCTGCAACAGCGTATTTGTGGGCAACTCTTGCATCAAGTGGCCAATATGGCATTTTCAGGGTATTTGCGAGATTAGCATTTTTCGTTCTTTTAAATCCTTTCCATCGCATGTAAACATGTTGACGTAGTTGGCTGATCAATCGCCAAGCTGTGCCAATGTTCTTTGCAAGTTTGAACTGGATTTTCGTCCACTAAATCTGATCCTCCAGTCAAGGGCCAAAATATATATACAACCCCCTAATAAAAGGTACAAATTTGTTTAGATAAAAATTTTTTTTTTTTAATTACAGCCAAATGTGGGGAATTGTCGTAAAAATGTTTTGATTCCCTATTCAATAGGTGTCATGCTTGTGTCAGTACATGTCAGTGTATCAAATGCACTACCACTGATTTTCCTCAAATCGCTCTGAGTGTAGCCTGTACATAGCGAATTTACAATACCCGTCCTCCATAAATGCAAACGTTATTGTCCGCAACAGTAGCCGAGTACGTACGAACCGCAACTAAAGAATCAGTACTCGCGGGGTCAAATTCCAGTGCGATAGAGCTTGCTTTATGTGTAATGAGTGCTCAGTTGATGATACAGACCCACTAGGCTGCGATCGCTTTTCTGCGTCGGTCTTTTTCTTCACTTTTTGATCGTCATCGTTTGCAGGAATAAGAGACATCCCCTGTGTGTGTGATTCGTTATTCAAAAAAAAAAAAAAAAAAAAAAAAAAATAGAAAAAGTTCGAGGGCTATACTACTTCGTCTAATGTAATTGTTGATTGATAAAATAATGCATTGTTTTCTGCTCGTGCAAATTTTCCACTTCCGTTTAGAATTCCGAATTACTATTATTAAGCGGTTTTTGTCAAAAAGTGTTGAAAATTGCAATTATTTTCGTATAATGAATTCTCTACAATATGACGTTGTATGGGTAGGGGTAGTGTACAGTGTAAACATTGCAATGAGCGCTATTCTCCACGATTACGAAACACGTCAATAACACTTCAAACAACGAATTAATTGATATTCCATTGGTGTCCATGTTCTCATGCGAGTTAGGTGATTTTTTTATATATCGCGATACGACGAAAAAATTCCAATGAACAAATTATATGAAAGCAAAACGAGTTTGTCGAAAAGGCTATACGTAAGGTAGATTAAAACAAAACCATTTGCATGGAATGAAATTATTTGCCTTAACCTACGACACGGCAATGAATTACCTAACAGTGCTTTACAATTAAAGCAGCGAAATAGAAAAACCTCAGGTAATCGCTTAAATGATATTGCGTAAGAGTTAAGACAATTTATTTAAAATGATTATTTCCGATAAAAAACCAGTGGAAAGATTATTGTCTGGTTAGGCCGACTATTGAATACACTTCACAATATGTTTAACACAATTCTTAGTTTTGCCATAGAACACAAAAAATTTTAACCGGTTTTTTTAGGAACTTATTATTACGGGATTGTATATTAAAAGCTAGACAAATTTGCAAATAAATGCTTACCTTCCGCAAGAAGGGTTAAGAAGCGCTAAGAAATATCTATAAAAAATTACTATTATAAGTCAATTCTCATCCAAACGTAGTAAAACTTGGACTTTTCCGCCCTGAAAAACAAAAATTGTCGTGAAAATCCTTACGTAAGAAATGATGTAATATTAGACGTATCTAGTCCAAATTTAGTAGCGTTAATTTTGATATCAAATAACGACTATCGAGCAATTTTTATCATAAAATATGAAAATTTAGACTTTTCTGCCCCAAAGAACAAAAATTTGCGTGCAAATCCTTATATAGGGCAGAATCTGGAAATAGGTGTATGTCCTCCAAATTTCGTAGAGTTAATTTTTATATTGAATTACTCGATAAACTAATCGATAAACTTTCATCATAACATATTAAAACTTAAACTTTTTTGCCCTATGCGACGTGTAGCCTGAATACTAATTCATATAGACCGACATCAGGCGATCAGACACTCTTAGATCAATTCAGATTATGATTCTGAATCGATCGGTATAATAAAAGGTGAGTCTATTTTAAGACCTTTTGCATGCTACATACGTCCGCACTAATTTAACATACCCTGTATCTGAATCGACTTAAGAATGTTCCTCCATTCGTTTGCTCATCTGTCCGTCTGTCCAACTATGTAGTATCTGCGGTAAATATTCTCTCGTTCGCAAAAATGAAAACATTGCCTATAAATTTGCAAAAGAGTTTTGAAAAAGGTGCAAGCAGATCAAAGTACACGGCTACAACACGGACATGTCTATCTAATCAACACTGAGAACATTTGTGCTTTCCGTGCCGTTCGTTCTCGTTGCTGCTAAACTACAACAGATATACGAGATAAATTTCGAAACAGTTATTAATATAATAGTAAAAAAAAAAACAACCACGCCCACCCAATGTTATGGAATATGTAAATTTATATTCTTCCTTTTTCTCAATCTTTCACATAATAACGGTGATGGACATAAAAGATTCGTTCGCAAACGAATCTAATTATCGCAAGTCGTTTTTTTTTTTTTTTCAGATTAAAACCAAAAGCCCTATACAATGATGACATAATGGTTTTATCAGAGAAATTGCAAAGGCTTATCGATCTGAATAGTCTGAATTATGTCGGTTAAGGAGAATAACTACAAATAGAAGAGATACGTGTAGGAATCTTGATGAAAATGCATCACGAACGTGTTTTGAAGCAAATGAGAAAATGAGTTTACTCTCACCAGCCGTTGGTTAGTATAAAAGGAATAAATAAAAGGAATAAATATATATATATATATATATATATGTATATATGTCCATTAAGGAAAACGTTTTATTTTAACATACATATAATAAAAACAAAAACATGAACGACCGTCATACCGATGTATTGCACATGCAATTCGATAAAAGAGTGAAGATATAAATTTGAAGCATCAATTACAACAACAAAGATGGAATGATTTTCCATTGAGCATACGGAGCACACGTTCCAATTTGCTCGATATGATGATACATACGACTGTGCATTATTTTTTCCTTGCTTTTTTTTTTTACGTAGTAGCTTTTTCATGCTCGGCATTTTCTTATTCGATTGCATCCGCCTTGGTATCGTTTATTACGAGTTAGCTTGCTGTGGCAACATCTTTGTTGGGCCGTAAGGTAACATGATATTTTAAACATTTTCAAGTGCACTGTTGTTTAATGGCTTCCAATACTTTAGCGGGATGAAGAATGCCACAAGGACGGACAACATATGGAATAGATCACTAAATTCAGTAAGTGATAAACTTAGATACGAAATCACCGGCTGAACGTCTTCATTATGCCTTACATTATTCGTGGCACAGAGCATGTTAAGTTGGTGTTGCTGTATGTAACACGCTTAAGATAGATCTACCATTTATTCTACCGATCGATTCAGAATCACAATCTGAAGTGATCTGAAGCCTGTCTGTCCGTCTAGAAGTCTTTCGATATAAATTTGTGTTCAAGCTGTAGGTCGCTATTTTTGAGATATTTCGATAAAGTTTGATATAGTGACGTGTTTTGACCCAAAGCCGAACACTATTGGAAATGGTTCGGATGCGTTCACTTTTTCGACCACTCTCCATATAACGCCATATTCTGAAAAGTCGTTATATCGAAAGAACTTGTAATTTTCAAAATTTCTCAGCAAAAGTGATTAAGCAGGGGTGTTTCGGCAATCTAAATTGATATGAAAACTTTGGACTGGCGGAGGCAAGCTTTGAACTTTCTCATATAACGAAAACTAAAGTTCATACAACATGATGAAAATTATATCATAATAGTAATTTAACATAAAAAACTTAACTGTACCAAATTTGGACCATCTCGGCCTATTTTTCGAAATCGATTATAATATGAATTTTCACAAAAATTAATCCTTTATCGAGCAGAAAAGTGAAAGTTTTAATATTAGTTTGGGGAAAAAGAAATCCATTATTTTTATATGAACTTTAGGACTTTATTTAATATGTTTCGGATTGTCCGATTTGGGTCAAATATGCACCGTGGTGATATGCATGTGGTAATTGAAAATTGACCCTTAATAGCAATTTCATACAAAAATAAGAATCGCGTTAGACAATGTTGTGTAAGGTGTTTAATGATCGGCCATGCCCGACCATAATGTTCTTACTTGTTTTGATTGCGTCTGTTCCCATAATACCCTGCGAAAATCTCTACTTCTGGAGCGTAGAAAAAGTTGCAGTGATTCATAGTGCAGTGACGGATACCTATATCTCTCACGTAAACGGCGTAGTAATCCACAATTGTTAAACATTCATTCTGCTGTTAAGTTTTTCAAATGAAGTAAACGAACCGCATCTGGAGCGGCTTAAACGTTGCCTTACGGCACAGTCTTTACCCGATCAGATTATGTTATTTTCCTAACGCATTCACGTTTCTCGCATTTAAGAATAAAGTATTCTGTGCTATATGGTCGATGAAATGTAAGATTTCTTTTCGAACATTTGGTAAAAGTTGCTGCAAAGGACGATCATATTTAGCTCATGCATCATTTTGGAATTCATTTTTCCATTGCTTATGCAAGCGATTTTTAATGGGTTGAAGAGCTTTCTTATTAGAGTGTAATAAATCTGTCGGTTTATCTTTTCATCGATTAGAGAATTAAAACAATTACGCAACCGAAGAAAGTGAAAATCATGTACAGAGGAAGATGTTAATCAATAGCTATAAGTTTAGCAAAAACAAGGAGAAAGCGAGCAAGTAAGAAAATTATATTCGATTACTCTAAAAAAGAATTTAGAAAAAAAAAACAACGAATAAAAGTAAATATCAATACTCCATAATATGGGGTGGGCATGGCTGATTTTTTTCCATTTTTGTAAAATAATACGTACGTATAAAATTTCACGGTGTCTCTGTCTGTTGTATTAGCGTTTGACAGAATTGAGCGTGAAATGCGCAAATCGAAGATGTTATCATTTAATGTTGCTAATTGTAGGCGTGTCTGTCGACCGATTTAATCGTATCCCAAAAACCAATCAAATGCACAAAATTCCAATGGTTTTTATATCTGTTGCGGCTTGAAGATCGATCATCAGACCGGCAAATAAATGGCCGATTAACGGTAAGGCTTACATCCATTGAGAACTTGACGTTGATCGAGATTAAGAAGAAAAGATTTCGAGCAATTGATCAAATTGATATCAAATATGTCCGGGCAATTTGTAAATCTGCAATTTACAGATCATCCTTCCGATAATTGATTTAATGATGATTTCTTTCTTCAATTTTTGATAACCTTCTTGACGACACACAGACGACATTGCGCTTCAAAATATATTCAATTAAACAGTGTTTTTGCCGTTTGAAAAGCTGATAAGCAGCAACGATCACGCAAACGTTTCAATATGTTTCGCATTAATTGCATGAAACTGTCCCGGGAACGACAATAACGTAATTTATTGCAGTTTTTCCAAATTCAAATGCAATGAAAACAATAATTTGCAATTATAAGTAAAAATTTATTTATATATATGCTTGAGTGCGTCTTACGAATGAAATCAAGGTATGGGATTTTTCCTTAATACAAGTAACAAGAGCTATCTTATCTCAATAACGCTTGATGTCAATTTGGTCGCTGTTGTTATTATTAGTAAGCACTTTTAGTATTACTAGCACTACTAGCACTACTAGCACTACTTGTCTGGGCCTATATATTTGTAAAAATTGCGGCTTTGTTTTGCTTTGTTTTTTTTTTTTTTTTGTTATTTGTTATTATTAGATTACAAATAGAAGCGCAGAGAAAATTTGTATAAAAAGAAATGGAAATATAAGCGCGGAAGCTAAACGTGGGAAAAGTGTCGTTTCACAAAGATGAATAAGCTGTTAACGTTAATATTTTATATATTTGTTTTGTTCGCTTTATATGAAGGTTTGTGTGTCATTGCGCCTTAACGAATAATTATAATTATAATTATAATGGATATTATTGAAATTGAAAAATTAAAAAAAAAAAAAATTTTCTTATAGCTGCACCGCAAGGTGGCGGAGGAGGTGGTGGTGGCGGCGGTGGTGGCCGCGGTTGTAATTGTGAACCGGGTGGCGGAGGTGGTGGCGGCGGTGGCGGTGGTGGTTCCTTGGGTCATGGACCGGGCGGACCCGGCGGTCCCGGCGGAGCAAAAGGACCTGATTGTGTGCGACCATCTTGGATGCCGCCCTGTCCTTAAATATTATTTACTAAAAAAAAATATATTAATTTATTTTAGATTTTAATCGTTGCTGTGATCTTTCCAATTGAAACATATATATTATAGTTATTTTGCAAGAAGCTTAAGAAACGAAACTATGCTATGCAGCAAGAAATACGAAAGACGCAGAGTGAAAAACTTTTACTATTAACTTTGATTAGAAACGATATGTACGTCTTATTGGATTGGATGTACGATTCCATAAAAAGTCTTCTGGAAGAAAATTTTTTTATATTTTTTTTTCGTATCTTTTACAAACTTGTCTCAGTAGTGTAATATTAATAGCAATCATTAGTTTATGGTTGAAACGCGATAACCCATTGTTTCACGAGTTACATCGCAAGCGAACGCGTTCTGCTGCAAGTAAAAGTCGCTTACATCTATTACATCAATTTCAGCCAAAAAATGCAACATTGCTCGATAAAGCATCCATTAACTGCTATGGTCGAATGAGTATCATTTTTAGAAAAATTTTGAAACGAACATATCGCCAATCAGAGTGCCATACCCCTTTAATTAAACAGATTGTTCGAAAAAGCTTTCTTTACTCGTCCAGACAAATGAAAGCAAAATAATTTTGTTCAGAAAATCATTTAATCGAGATTGTTGGCTAATTGATGTTAAAAGTGAGACACAATTCATGTCATTAAATTTCAATAAATTGCATACAAACGCAATGAAAGTGCGAATCTGATAACGAGGCAACTTCTCACTCCCATAATCGATATGTTGGTTGTAGCACTTATGATATGCACAATGCCGGCTGCATATAAAAAATGGACCCGTCAATCCTTAAGATTAAGTGATTCAAGTACAAGTGGATTGAATGGAATTCCTAGGGCGTTTGATGTAAATACCTGCGACATATCCTACTCGAAGGATTTATCAAAATTATAACTATTTTATTGCTCTTTACATTTCTTAGTCTGGCTATAGATTGATACAACTAATCCAAGTCAATTTTGACCATCCAGCAGGCCCTGATCAGACGGAATCTACATTAAATATCTTTGAGAACAATAATCCTCCCCCCTTTTAACTTCTCTAAAATAGATGAATAAACTAATGGAAGCATGAGGACATTTTTGTAAAGATCAAAGATAAATTTATAGGAAAAGTCGAAAATCTTTGAAAAAAAATGCACTAATTGGAAAATTGGCTTGGGGCGAATTTCGCATACCCACCACTCTGTTTTTCGCATTCTACTCTCCAAGTTCTTTTATTTGAGACCCATATTGTTGGTATTATGAAAAAAAAAGGTAACCGCAGTGCCTACCATATTTATTTTAGAACCAACTCAATTTTTAGGCAGATAATATATCTGTATTTGGGGAATGTGCAGAATAGTTTTAAACCTTCTCTGTCTTGTTTGCGCTATGACAAAACCCGTATTAAACTGAGAAACAAAGTGAAAAAAAGATAATTTAATCGATTGCAACTTTGTGCGGATACGGCCCAGTTTCTCTATTTTTGCACGTAAAGGCTAAAGTGTTTGGCAAAGTAAATGTGGAAAATTTCATCCTTCTAAGTTTAAAAATTTCCGAGTAATGAGCAAAAATTCAAAAATTTTTGTTAAAAAAAACTGACTTACATTCAGTTTACGCTCCACTGCGTGTTACTGCTCTGATCAATTTTGCCCCATTTTCAATACCAAAGAGTGCACGCAAAAAGTTCCAATGTTTCTATCAAATTTGAAGACGATATCTTCCTTTTTAGCGACTAGGAGGAGTGTCAACAGGAAACGCCACACAGACGAACGGACATGGCTTAATCAATTCAGAATTTTACGCTAATCAAGAACATACATACATACGGTAAACTTTAGTCTAAAGCTTCCCTTTGAGTGTTACATGCATTATGAAAAGAAAAGCAACCTTTAGTGATAAGTATAGAAGTGTAGATCGCTTTTGAAGCCTGAAATTACAAATAATTTCTTTGCCTTATATTGACTTTTTCTTGCGCTAAATACAATAAAAGTTGTTTTGCTTGGATTGAGAATCTGTAGACTCGACATGAACGCTGCATTTGACAAAAATTGGAAAAAATTTTTTTTTTTTTTTTTTTTTTAAATTTTTTCTGCTTATTCTTTTTAAAAAGGCAATAAAAGGGCGTAAACACATAT